CTCAATTATATATAAGCCAACTCTTTAAGCTTAGACAAATATACTCTTAAAAATACGAGAAGAATTGCTTTCGAATAAGCAACTCTCTTTTTACTTAAAGTGGAAATTACATATTCTAACAAATTAAGAATTCCCATTTCATAAATAAGATGGCATGTTTAGTATTAGAACTTTTTTATTAATTAATTAATAAATTAATCTATATAAAAATAATAATTAAACATTACCCTCTCTGATTCCTAAACTACCTCACTTCTCTCTCCCTACTCTCACCCCTCAACGACGGCTCTCAACATTTGGGGGAAAAATAGGAGATCCTCGACGCCGGAGTTAAGCTAATAGAAGAAGAGTCGCCGTCGCCCATCTCCAATTCAACGAGGTCGGTTTCCTCCTATCTCCTCTCCCGTATCCGCAATAGGTCACCTCGTGAATCTGTGACGACGATTTGTGCCAGTGGCAATGGCTGTGGTGGTAGATCTGGGGGTTTGGGTGGTTGTGAATTTGTGGTGGTGTTGATGGGTGGTGGTGCAGTCGCGATGATGGTGTGGTTTTGATGTGGTGGTGCAGGCGACGATGCAAGGTGCAATGGTATTGGCGGCGTGAATATATGTGGGGCGATGGATCTGTTGCAGTTGTGGTTTGCAGTGTGATAGTATTGACAGTGTGGATCTGTGCAAGCAACGATGCAAGGGTGTGGTGGTATTGGCGGTGTAGATCTATTGGCTTTGGTGGCTATGAATCTGTGATGGTGTTGATGGTGGTAGTGCGGTGGTGATGGCGCTGTGGTGGTGCGGGTGACGATGCAAGGTTATGGTGGTGGCTATAGCGATGAAGATCGTGGTGTAGATTTTTTTTTCTTGGTTGTTGGATGCGGCGCAGGCGATGGCGGCATGGTGTTGGTGGCAGCAGCGTCGGCATCGATCGGGTGGATCAATAGTGCATGTGACCAATGAATAATCTGTGACCTGTAAAATTTTTGGATTCGTGATCGAAAAATATTTTGTGACATAAAATTTTTGATCCGTGACCGAGAAATACGTTACGACCAATAATTTGATAAGTTGTGACTAAAAATTAATTCGTGATTAATTAATTAGATAATTGTGACCACAAACTGTGACCTAAATATATTAAATTAATAAATAATTAAATCATAAATAATTTTTAATAAAAATCTAATTTTAGAAATTTGAAACTTGTTTTCTTATTTTTGAAATGTGCCATAATTAATTTTTTTGTTAGGAAATTTTCCCATACTTAAAATTAAGTTACCCAAGCCTTTTTGGAAACAAAAGTAACTTTTTTTTTCACTTATTTTTTTAAAAGCTTAGCCAAACATGTTCACCCGGACTTATAGCAAGGTTTTATTTTTGTTTTCCTTTTTGTTCATGTTGAGTTGAACATACTAAATATGTCAAGATAGAATTAGAAGATCTTACATAAGCCGAAGCGTGCAGGGAAGTGTCTGGTCTCGTTGCTGAATATGCAACCAAGATAGAAAAGAGGCCCATGACTCCTGGAAAATTTCACGAGAGAAGAAGGTCATTGAAAAAGAACAATTCTGCAATGGTATTTTCATTGTAAAATGATGTCATGCGTTAGTTTTTCTTGGCATGGATATATGTATTATTAAAAAAATCAAAGACTGAATTAAAGGAGAGTGTTGAATTATGTTCTGATATGAAGAAGTAAGAAATCGTGACCCTGAAAACAATGGCTTTTTACCCTTTTTTTGCTTGTTGAGTCGAACCGACAGATCTTCTTTGGGCAGTAATTATGCGCTTTCTGGCCCAACAACTCAGATCCAGTGTATTGATAACGTGATTTGTAGTTATTCAATTTTTGGCCTTTACCTTCATTATCTGAGAAGCCCTGGACGGTTAGATCAAAATGGAGATCAATGGTTGGTGATGAGGGTAGAAATATTACCCTTAGTCGCCCCATTAGGTCACATTCTGTATTCTGCCATTTGGGTTGGTTTCCTGATTCTTGGGTTCTTCTTTCAAACCTCTGGTTTCAAAATTGATTCTTCTGGTCTTCTTTATGAAATCTAACTACTGAGTGTATTTGTAAGAGAGTAATAGCGTGATTCCTTGTGACTTTCCTTTAATCACAGAAGCATACAATTGAATTTGGGACCTTTATTTTTTTTTAGTTATTGGTGCTTTTGGCGTTGTATCACTTATGGAGTGGAAGGAAATGTATGATATGCAAAGATTCTAAAAGTACTTTGTGATTCTAAATAGAAGTCGTACGAAGGATAGTTGGTCACATCGAATATGGATCGTAAGTGAAAGTCGGTGGCATTCCTAGGGGTCAAGTTAGCTCTTGCCAACGTTATGATGTACTATCTCCTTTGAACTTTTTGAGTGAACGGTGGCATAAGAAAAAGAAAGAAGATCAATGGACTGACCCATTCATCTCCAACCAAGGAACTACGGGATTTTAACACCAATTGACCGTGAAAAAAAATAAAAATAAAATAAAGATGAAAAATAAGTACCTGTACCTCCCCATAAAGAGTCCAACCAATCTCCCCTGCATTATGTGTGCACCACCATAGATGATATCTCCACTGGTTGGCAATCTAATACTAGGACGTTTAGTATTAAAGCACCATCATTAGTCCCATGACATCTTAAGTCTTAATACAGATTTGGTGTGCGAAGTTAGGTCCATACGAGTTTAAACCTGCTCCACGTTCAAGTGAAAGTCGTGTTTCCTTCTTCAAATTTCCCTAACTCATGGAGGTTCCTTTGTTCTTCAAGAACAAAAGGCTCTTAGACGAGCGACAATATGTAAACTTCCAATCGTTTCGAATAAATTCTAGTATATGGCAATGTGTTATTTTTCTTACCCATCTTTTTATTTACCGGAGTTTGTATATGACAGCACATGTTAAGCCCTTGCCTCCTTGAGCTTGCTTTAACATTAAATTGACTTCGCCACCCAGAATTGAGAATTTGTTTGAGATAATGAGCTTTTGATCTATTAGTAGATGCATAGCAATGACCTGGATGTCGTGATGGAAACTAATTTATGCAGTCGATTATGAAGTTATTGGGCCACAACTGAAAATTGGGATTTCCTTCTGGAGCCAGGAGAAATTTCAACTACCAGTTGGACGGCGACAAGAGAAATGAATGCATGCTATTATAATTTCAATTGTTGAAATCTGAAATCTCCATCCACGAGCATTCTGTGCGTGTACAAGAAATGGGAAATAAGAACGTTGAGATGATTTTTAAATTTGAAATTGTATCAGTTTGTTATCCCACATCGAAACTAGGGAAAACCTGAGAGAGATTTGAGTACTATAAAACAGCTGGCCCGAAAATGAATTAAGCATACCTTTCTCGGCCTTTTGGCTAAGATCAAGTGTAGTATCTGTTCTTATCAGTTTAATATCTGATATGTGAGCCATTGGCTCACACGATATTAAATTAATTTTTTAAGGGGGAGGGTCCACCAGAGTAGCTTGCTACTGGGGCTCTCGAGCGTCGCCCAGGCGTTGCACTACAGCTTGGGCCTGGCGCACCCCACCAATTCTAGTTCAATGATTTTCTGGTTTCAGAATGGTCTGGCGACGAGTGGGATGTAGAAAGGGGTCCCTACACTTTATGTGTAGTTTGTTGTCTTCCTTGAAGTTTCTGTCTGACGTCTCATAGTTTGTGGGAAATCAATCTCGAATAAATTAGCTAGCATGTTTAAATTTTATAATTATAAGTGCTCTCGGGCACGTTGGTATTGTGAACACACTTGAAAGCTTAAATGTGAGCACCTAGTCATGCAGAGCCCTTTAGGTTGTCCCTTTCTGTGTTGAATTTGAATAACTCATCCGACATCCACGATTCTTGCTGACATGAAAGCGCATTTCTCGCTACTTTCTGCTCCTTGATTTTAGTGACCTGATCGTATCTTCCTCTTCTGGGTTGAGTAGCATTAATTAGGATATAATCTCCCCAAATAAAATGTTAAATTTGATAGAAATATAATTTGTATTGGAGACATTGATTTTTCATCTTTCTTCTATGTCCAATCTCCTAAATTGGTACTAATCAAATATTTATATAGGAAATGTGCTATTTTTCGACACCCTAATTTAGCTATGCGAGAGTTCTGATCAGAGAACTAATTTCACGGAAGTGGTTAATGTAATAAGTAGAATTTTGGTGAAGAACGGTGTACTAAATTCCCAGGTCAATTTTAGCTGGCCTTGACCATCTTAGTGAAGTTTGTATGGCAAAGATATTTCCATGATACTCCCTCTTCACCTTGAACTCCAACTTAATAGTAATTCAGTTTTGTAACACTAATAATTGATAATTTTTTTGAGAAAACGAGTTATCGATCTTCAAGAAATGTGTACAAAAGATCAGGATTATTTTTTCTGGAGCGAAAAAGGGTTTCGCCATATTGCTGTGCTTTACAGTTTCCATCTGTTGAAATCTTAATCCGAAGACGTTTTGTGGATGTATTGGGATAGGAGGAGGATGATTTTAAAGTTTCACTTTGTTGTCCCACATGGAGTCTAGAGAAAGAGTGAGGAAAATTTGAGTACCATAAAAGAGCCGCCCTATGACTTTAATAATCATACCTTTCTCGGCCTTTTGGCTAAGATCAAATGTAGTATCTGTTCTTATCAGTTTAATATCTGATATGTGGGTCATTGGCTCACACGATATTAAATTAATTTTTTAAGGGGAAGAACCCATGACAATGGCTTGCTATTGGGGCTCTTGAGCGTCGCCCTGGTGTTGCACTATTGCTTGGGCTTGGCGCACCCACCAATTCTAGTCTAAAAATTTTCTGATGTTGAGCCTTGGATATGATCCTAGGTGAAGAAACTATTTTCTGTTAGAGGGTAGGGGTTGTTTCCTGGACTAACATCCCAATCCAGTCATTTGGTTGTACCTGAATTTGGGTATTGTACGTTGAATTTAGTGAATGAATAATGCAATTTTCCAAAATAACAGGAAAATTTCCAGCAGTAACCAAAATAAATCAGAAAAAGTGAGAATATGTATATATATAGTGAATTGGCTGAATACAGCAATGAACTATGAAGTCTTGTTGATACAATACTCTTAAGCAGCAAATTGCACAATTCAAGAGACTAAATTTCCAGATTCATCCCAATCTCTAGGCAAGTTGGCATCTAATCAACAGAGCCTACAGCTGCAAAATGTACTGAAATTTGCATACAATTTTGTACTTCAGATTACTAACATCCGGAAAAGTGGTCACTACCACGGTTTGAGATCAGCCACTGGACCCGCCGTCCAGTTGAGGATCTTCTCGCCTGGCTTCAAGTACACACTCTTATCATGGGGTAATTTACGAGCAAGACCATTCAAAATCTGATGGAAAGCGTCCCTTGATTGAGCAGGTTGCGGGAATAACATAGCTTGTTTCATCGAAGGGTTGGCGAGTAATCTCTGCTTCCTTAATATTTCTTCAATGGGAATCGAAGTGAGAATGGTATCCAATTTAGGGACATCTTTCTCAGCTACAAATACTCCTATATCTTCCCATGGTATTGCATCAGCAAATGGCAATACAATATCATCTGCTATGATCACAGGGATGCAACCAAATATAACTGCTTCGACCAATCTTGGACTCCATGGAGCCCATCCAAGTGGACACAGGCAAAAAACAGCTCTCTGCATGTCTTCATAGTAAGTACTCGGGTGCTCGGTTGAGATGTCGAACAAGGGATTGTTCTTAAAATTCTCCCACACCGATGCTCTTGCACCTCTATAAAGTTTGAAACAGAAATTAGATTACAAATAATTGGATGCTCCTCTCATTTAATTTCAATGATGTGTTAGGTAGGTTAATCTCCAATCAACTTATTTTTATAATGGCATTTAAACATATGCATGATGGTCTATTGAAATATACCTTGCATAGTAACCACCTTCTGGATCATTCCCCACATCGTAAAACAAACCTCGGAAATAAACAAAGATGGAACGAGGAGTGCTAGGAGGAATCAAATGGGTTTGCATTTTCTGCGGTGGAGCATATGGAGGAATAGTGATGGAACCGCCCTTTAAACAAACATGGTTTCGTTGTCCAAAAGTTTGAACCAAGGTAGCACGTTGGAGCAATGTAAGAATCCCTCTTTCAATAGCCTTTTCTTCCTGCAGTGAGCAAATAAGATATACACATCAGGCCGAATCACTGCAAATGATGTATGTCAAAATAAATAATTTTATTTTTATTGATGAAAGTTGGAAATAAGTAACTAACTTATTTTGACATCAAGGTAAGATTTACTTTCAAAAATAACTAATCATAAGTAGTATTTAATAGTTTTTACCTGAAATTAATCTATCTAAACATTTGGGGACAAAAAGATCCTTTTTAAATCACTTTTTTACTTTTACAACGCCAAGACAAATATGCTCTTAGAATCATGAGTAAAGTAACAAGAGAGAGACAACTAAAGTACTTGATAGTGAAAGCATGCCCCAAAATCATGTGGCACAATGAAGAAGTGATCAGCCCCCTCAGTCCTATTCCAGTAAGGCCAGTTGGAAGAAATAAGCTGTATAGCACTCCTCATCATACGTGGCGATTTGAATGGCAAGGGGAGACCATTTGGAGTGAGGTCACAGGTGGAATATACAGGTGTGTAGAACCAATCCGCTTCCTCGGGATTAAGGGTTCGAACTGGGCTTGATAGAAGGAATCGATGCATGTAAATCTCGGCAGCAAACATATGAGTCAGGCATCGAGGGTCCTTTTGTAGAATTTTTTTGTTGTATTTGCTAGGAAGCTCATAAACAAAAACTTTTAACCTTCCAACTGGATCATCTTCCAAGACATCGCCCGCACTACCTAAAATTCGAAAGCACCAACATAATGAGCGACCTCATAATTTAAAATAAGAAAGAAAGTAGAAGATCATAAATGACTTGAGCAGCACTATTTAAAATTTGGGCAGCAATTTTTTTTGGTTCCCCACGGACATAAACATAGTAAAAACATAATAGAGTTCTTCGTATATGGGGAAAATATTATTTTTTTTTTCTTTTTCGTGGACAAAAAACTGCAACAAAGAACACATCACAGTAAATGTCTGTACAGCCTGTTAAGCATTTCCAATTCTACACTCATCTTTCAAAGATTATGTCTCAAAAAGATACAGTAAATCACATGCCTTGGATATAACTTCTTTCCTCTTTCTTCTTTATTGAGGGAAATAATAGGAATAGATCTTTTCATGACAAATTCTAATGCAGGGAGAAATACAGTTATTCTGTTGCCTTCTAGGTTTAGCAATATATTAGGAAAATATAAATACTGATCCAAGGTCAACTTAATTGTACCTTGCGATTTTAATAGATTTATGACATAGAATGCCCAAATCTCAGATCATGAATATCAAAATTTTGCATCAGACCAGAAGAAACATGATGACTTATACGAGTACTTTTACACGTTCTTGGAGCTGGGAATTTTCAAATTCAAAACAGAAAAAACATTCTATCTGTTTAATCACATTGAATTGATATGTTCTCTGCATAATAAAAGAATTGACATTCTTATTTGTTCGAGAGATAGCACCACGTGATTGGATCCCATTTATGATACAGATTACCCAACTGCATGATCATGAATATCAATGCTTTGCTTAAGAACAGAAACAACCAAATGATTACCACCATACTTAACTTGGAATTTCAGATTGAAAGAAGAAAAAGAATTTCTCTATCAATTCCATCCAAACAAAGCTGTAAATTTTGCAAAACATCAATAATTAATCCAAATTGCAAATAGCACATGAAGAGCAGAGTTTATCATTCATAAACACTTCAATGCAAAAAGAATTATCAATTCAATTTTGGATGAAACACTTATTTTTACAATTTGTTCACTAAACCAGGGAAATGATATACAGTGAATTAATATAACTGCCCACATCACAAGGGAACCCTAACTACATTCCCTATTCAAACTCCAGAAATGAAATTATATTATCAACACGAACCTTCTACGTTATTCAAATCAAATAAATCCAAATAGACAATCAGATTTCCAGCCAAATCAACTGCTAACAGCTGAAATCTCAACGACTTAAAATGGACTTACCCGAGATTCTCTCAGTTTGTTGAGTTTTGTCGAACTTTAAAGCTCCAATCCTTGCGCAAGATGCGAAGTAAAAAAGGAAAGCGAAAAACCATCTCTTCATTTTTCACTCCGCCCACTTTCCCTGTCCCAAAAACCGATCCAAGATCAAGAAAATCCCACGGTTCAATTATAAAGGGGTCTGCCCAAGAACAAATAAGGAATTTATATTTACTTTATAATAGGAAATTGGGTAGGCGCGAGAGAAAGATGGATAGTTGAAATGTCATTAGACAGTAGTTGTAAAAATGACTTATCTTGCAAACTGGGATTTTTTAAAGATTAGACAGCACATGGAAAATGAAAGTTGATGTGTTTTTAAGCACAACACAGAAAAAAATATATGAATTTTTGGGAAATAATTTCAAATCCTTCAAGACACAAAGAGATCAGAAAGCTCCGGTAAGGCGGCGCGTGGGTGGGAGTGGAATAATGTTTGGTCAGCTTTTGTTGTCTCTAGCTGTCAAGGGTAATATGTGTAGTTTACAGAATTATTTTATTTTCATCATAATCAATTTTCCTAATTGCCTTGGCTTCATATTTATTTATTTAAATTGTAATATATACTGAAAATAAAACACAAATAAATAAATTTCTTTTTTTATCTGAAATTATAAACTTTTAAATAACATAATTTAACATTATATTCACGTGTAAAACGAGAATTTAAGCCTATCGTATATTAAGTATAAGTTAAATTGTATCTGTTCCATAATATTAAACTTTACTTAATTAAGCTTGATTCTTTTTTTCTTTCTCGTCAAATCTACAAATATCAAACTCAACCATACAACAAATTAAATCCGTTACCAAAAAATTTAAAATGCATGCATTAATTTTAAAATTTTTGTTATCACTATGTTCGGTACTATGTTGAAATTCAATTATTGACCATATTAACAATAACGAATGGGTGGGTCTAAAATTTCAAATATTATTAAATAAGAAATATTTCGACTTTAACCCAATTTAAAATCAATGAAGGAAGATATTTTGAGATGTAACACTCTTATAGTTGGTTGGATCCCTATTTTCAACTATTATGACACTATCAATCAATTAGATAGACACAAAAAAAATTAAATTAAAAGATGCTCATTTGATTATATTTAAATGTTTACATTTAAGTAAACTAAAGGTACGTCAATAATTTTCAAATTAAAAAATTACTCATTTTGTCTATACTATAAACTTTTTTACCTAAAAAATATATATATATATATCTTATCTAAACATATTTAGAAATTAAAAATTACATATTAATCATGCTTGTCATATTAATCCATAGCATTTATTTTAAATTATAAACCAAAGTTACATTCAAAATAGATATCGAAGTGAAAAATCTTAAACAAAAGTTATCCTTTTCAATTTCAATTTATTATCCTTTGTATTTAAATAGTCTATTAATTACTTAAACGTGAAATTTATAATTTTTGAATGAAAATATTGACAATGTTATATAAGGACAAAATGATAAATTGAATATTTCTCATCTATCTCCACATTTTACTTATATATATATATATATATATACATATATATATATATATATATAAACTTAATTTGATTAATGTAAAATTTTAAGTACTCCAATATTAAATAATAAGTATTACACTTAAATGGATATTAAATGAAGTTAAATTATATTAAATAGTTCTATATTAAATACATAAGGGTAGAATTGTGCTAAGAACATCAGTTCAATTTATTTAACACGATATTGAAAATGATTTTTGTTTAAGGAGCTCAAAAGATGGCCCTAAATTCTCATTTCGATATTAAAAAAAATTATTTTAATTTGATTAATAACATTAATTCAAATTGAAATTGAAAAATGATGTTTAAGGAGCTCAAACGATGGTCTTAAACAACTGTTTATAGAAATTAAAAAAATATTCTTTAATTTAATTAATAGCATTACACTTAAATGGATATTAAATAAAGTTAAATTATATTAAATGGTACTATATTAAATATATAATGGTAAAATTGACATAAATCTAAATAAGTAAGGATAAAATTGGTATTAAAAAATTTCTCCCGATGAACCCTCATTTTTAATACATTGTAGATGTAGATTTAAATAATGTGAGCTTAGATTTAAAGTGGGAAACTTAATTTAAATAATGTAATTTAAGTAATTAAGCTTAATTTGATTAATGTAAAATTTTAAGTACTCCAATATTAGACAATAAGTATTACACTTAAGTGGATATTAAATTATATTAAGTAGTACTATATTAAATATATAAGGATAGAATTGAGCTAAAAATATAAGGGATTTTTATTAGGAACATCAGTTCAATTTATTCAACACGATATTGAAAATGGTTATTGTTTAAGGAGCTCAAAAGATGGCCCTAAATTCTCATTTCGATATTAAAAAATTATTTTAATTTAATTAATAGCATTAATTCAAAATGAAATTGAAAAATGTTGTTTAAGGAGCTCAAGATGGTCTTAAATAACCATTTATAAAAATTAAAAAATATTTTTAATTTAATTAATAGCATTACACTTAAATGAGTATTAAATGAAGTTAAATTATATTAAATGGTACTATATTAGATATATAATGGTAGAATTGACATAAAGCTAAATAAGTAACTGTAAAATTGGTATTTAAATTTCTCCTGATGAATCCACATTTTTAATATATTGTAGATGTAGATTTAAAGAATGTGAGCTTAAATTTAAAGTGGTAAACTTAATTTAATTAATGTAATTTAAGTAATTAAACTTAATTTGATTAATGTAAAATTTTAAGTACTCCAATATTAAACAATAAGTATTACACTTAAATGGATATTAAATGAAGTTAAATTATATTAAATAATACTACATTAAATATATAAGGGTAGAATTGAGCTAAAATATAAGGGATTTTTATTAAGAACATCAGTTCAATTTATCCAACACGATATTGAAAATGGTTGTTGTTTAAGGAGCTCAAAAGATGGCCCTAAATTCTCATTTCGATATTAAAAAAATTATTTTAATTTGATTAATAGTATTAATGCAAAATGAAATTGAAAAATGATGTTTAAGGAGCTCAAATGATGATTTTAAATAACCATTTATAAAAATTAAAAAATATTTTTTTATTTAATTAATAGCATTACACTTAAATGGATATTAAATGGTACTATATTAAATATATAATGTTAGAATTGACATATAGCTAAAGAAGTAAGGGAAAAATTGGTATTCAAAAATTTCTCCTCAATCCACACTTTTAGCCCCCGTTTGTTTCTTATTTTTGGAAGAATAAGAATGAAAAATATAATTGTTACGGGCCTCACACAAAAGATAAAAATTCAAATTTGGTGGTTTGATATGATGGATAACAGTCATATTTTTCATTTTAATAAGAAAAAATGGGAACCAAATAAGAGCTTAATATACTAGTGTTTCTCCCGTGCAATGCACGGGAGAGAGTGTTTTGGAGCTTTTTTTAGCATGTCAAATCTATAGTATGAAATTAGTGTTTTATGTTGTTTTTAGAATGATTTTCTTGTCAACATATGACTAATATGTATGGATCATTATTGTATGTATGTGTTGGTTTTTCTTTCCTTGACTACTTCATTAACTTATGGACTTCGTTAATTACCTATATATGTGATGATTGAAATTATATAAAATTTATTTCTAGATTTTGTAATGATTAATTTTAAAACTAAATAATTAATAGAGTTAGCCTTTGAACGTGGAATATTTTGGATTAGATCGTTTGTTTCAAGAAGTCGTCCTACAATAGAATGTTTACTATTAAAATTTAAAAATAAATTATAATAATGGATAAATAGAAATGTAACCAATTATTTTTATCAAGATCATAATTTTGTGAAGAGATTCTCTAAAAATTGCAGAAGAATCTTGTCGTTCATACGTTGGAAGAAGAGAAATTTATTGAATTTTAAATTATGTATATGTACCATGTGTAAAAAGTTTCAAAGGTTTCAATTATTACAAGAAAACAAAACACAACTTATTTTTTATTGTATTTAAAGCTGAAGGGGCATTCTTCTATTCTCATATTGACGTCCACAGATTAAAGACGGATAAGGTGCCCACATACCGTGCTGGAAAATTTGGCTGTAAAAGGTAACCATTTGCTGAAAATTTCGCCGGAGAAGGTAACCATTTAGAGATTTATACTGTGGCATGAGAATATATCATGCAGAATTAGAGCTTGGTTTTGGAACTGATGATTTTTTATATAATATTTTTGTTTAAGCTTTGCGTGAAATGGAGATGGGCTTTCCGTGTCACGAAGTGTGTGTGCATCTGTGACACGGAGAATGAGCTCTTCGCGTGACGGAGAGAACCCTCTTCCATGACACAGAGCTCGCCTCTGTGAGATGGAGATGGGTGTTTCTGTAACAAAGACAATTTTTTTTTTTTATTGTTGCATTTGTTTATTTTGGATTGTTGATTTATTTATAAATAAACATTTCTCTGATTTAAATTTTAGATTTGGTCATGAATATTAATTTTTAAATAATTTGTGTAGATTAATTTTTAGATTTGTTAATGAGTATTTATTTTTTGAATAATTTATACAGATGTCTCTAGAATATATAGTCTATATAGACCAATGGTTTTCTGCTACAATTATTCAATATCCAAATCGAGAATATCTGAAAGATTTTGTAGAGTTCATAGAAGCTGATCAACAATATTCTTTGATGTGTAGTCATTTTTATGGATTTATTTATGGAGCTGTTTATAGAGAAGAACGAGAACAATTTAGTAGTAAATTGATACGTGAATTTATAATGAGGCTTATAAATTGTGGGAAAAATAATGAAGTTTGTGTACGGTTAGATGGCCATGTTGCTAGATTTGGTTTGTAAGAATTCTGCCTGATTACTGATTACCTAGCCAATCATTCATGGAGATCGATTATAGTAATGATCGTTTTAGAAATCGGTACTTTGATTGCACAAGAAGAATTACGTTGAGAATGCTTTTTGAAGCATTTCACATGTGTGAAAATCATCAGGATAAATTTAAGTTGGGATTAGTTATGTTGGTAGATTGTGTGTTAAAACCAACTTCAAGACAAATTGATTATAGAACTCTTGGTGTGATTGAGTATGTTGATGAGTTTCTTGCGTATCCATGGGGTTGTAAAATATATTTTGTTTTGTTAAATTTTTTGAAAGAGTCAAAATTTGAAAGAATAGTAAGGATGCAACGGAATGAACAAGTAGAATGTAAGTATGCACTACAAGGGTTTCCACTTGCTTTTCAGGTATTTTTTTTGTATTTTTTTATTGATTTATTATGTATAAGTTATATAGATAACAAATCTTAACACCATAGCCTATAGGTAATCTTTAAGATTCATAATAAACAACCACAACAAAGTCTCCGGAGCAAATTGATTATCTTTCCTGAGCATATTCGCTAAGCTTAAATTAAACGAAAATTCTTTTAGTAATTTCT